TTAGCCTCAGATGGTTTTGCCAGATTAACTCGCGCACTGCCCATCTTTTTATGATTTTGCAGATACAGTATTTGAGTAGTGCTATTTCAAAGTTGAATCTCATGAAAAATCCGTAACATTGATTGAGCGGTTTGACATTCTTGTCACCTCATGAGATCTTGGTTGTTGCTTTTGAAAACGATGAATGTCGTTTACTAGCTTTGGACAGTCTGTGTAGATTGTCAATGGGACAATTAAAGGTGTCTGCAATTAACAATACAAGGCAATATTTGAACCCATTCCTTTTCTAACCAAGCCACACAACAAATCACCTCTTTCTAAACTGTACACTACCCTTCTTGCGGATCTTATTGCCCACTTTGTATTCCTGTTGCTTCAACCACATCAGCGTGACCCCGAATATCAAATCGAAACCAAACGAGCATGGGGCATCTTAGAAAAACATTCCGTGGGCACCAGCTTCGGTGGCCTTTGTGGATGGAAGCTGCTCAGACAAAACTAGATCTCCTGTTGTGGTCGGATCTGCGCCGGTCTTTCCAATTTCAAAGACAAATCATAGTAATGAGGATGACGCTTACTTCTACAAAGGTAGAATTCCTGGTGATCATTGAACCATTGAACGCGCGGAAGCTTATGCCGTCTTGGGGGCCCCAGATGTTTCCAACATGTTATCCGGATCTTTGTAGCTTAGACCTTTCATAGATTCCCATGTTTCCAAGCCGTCGAATCTTGTCCTAAAAAGTGGGGATATTTCGTCAAGTGACATAGACATTAAATAATCAAGGCTTTCAAAGAGCACTTTCATACGATCAAGACTGCAGCTTTTAAAGGAAGTTTTTCCATGATTTATTACAGCATTGTACGCAAGCGGTATCAGCGTATCTCCAATTCTACGACTATCATATTGTACAAAGAAGTAAAGATTGAAGTATTTGTCTTGATCAAGTGTACTCGGATCCCGCGAAACAAGGGAGGAAGAGACTTTTCAACTTTGGGTATTTCCTCGTCCGGATCCGAGTGCATCGCAAGACCAATTTTTGTGAAAGGCGAAACACCGTCAAACGTATTTGTTGCAAATGTCAAACGAGAATGCATGATCTGTGAACTCAGGCGGCACTGAGAATCATCAATTGATTCAAGGGCACCCATCAAAAATTCGGTTCGAATTATTCCTTGCATTTGGAAGACATTAACATACCTTGTTCTATGAGCATATCTGTAGGTGTCGACTTTGAAAGATGTGCGAGGCGTTTAAAAGCGGATGCAAGCCGGTGATCAAACGTTTTCAAGTACGAATCAGGGAATGCAATAAGGTATGGCATGCGATAGCGTAGCACAGATGCAAGATCCGAGTTCACATAAGTGACAGCTTCTCATGAATGTTCAAACCATGCTCACTGAACAAATTGGGGCAAGCTTTGTTCAATCTGTTAGTCATCCCTTTATGTTGAGTTGCAAAATCGAGACTGATGTTTACGAAATAACCAATATATTTATAGCTTTGCTTCGGACCATATATCGGACTGTTCCCCCACTTAGCTTCCACTTAGTATGTGGTTGACAAGATAGAACATTATCGTCGGATTCTCGAAATTGGTATGCGCACTTGAAGCTGTTTAATGACATACCGTAGTATGATAGGAATCGTTCAAAAAATGTCAACAAAGCTCTGAACATGTACAAACGATTCACCAAACATAGCCATGTCGTCCATGTATGCATTGGTTGCTATCTTCATTGATTGTAAAGACGTATTGGCTGGAGCATTCATTGTGTAACCTATATTCTGATGGTTTGCCCACTTGCTATACACTAGGCAAAATAAGATTGGGCTTAGACAATCACCCTCATGCACACCAACTAGCTTTTTTTTGTGGACTTCAAGATAAACTGGTTGGGCCTTTAGCCATGGTGAAAAAGTCCGTTTGAGAATCCTTGAGTCAGGTCTATAAACTCCTCGTTTATTTCTAGCACTTGAAGAGCGTCATAGAATGCTTGATAGGGGGTACTGGAAAATGCTTTCTAGATATCTGTGTAAATAATGTGAAGCGGATTGTGCTCATGACGGGCGTCAGATATCACGTACGTTCAAATAGAATCGCCGCTTTGTGTGCTGCATTTACTCCCTTGTTGTTTCCCCCTTGATTAACTTCTATGCCCCCATGGTCATGCAATGTTTTTGTGAGCCTTGCATTTAGCACGCCTGTCACGATTTTGTAGATGGATAATAGCAGAGCTATACCACGATAATTAGTGTGTAAAAGTGGATCGCCGTCCTTTGGAATAAATACAAAAAGCGCGTTTTTCATCGCAGAAGGGGAGGATTTAGAGACGATAATACCATTGACCAGTTCAAGAAGAGTTTCCTCGAAATTGTGTTTCCTTAAGACGTTTGTGATATAGCATTACTCGTATAACTTCAAATTGAACTCGGTCAATACCAGGCGCGGGTGTGCCAACATTGTTGATGATATCCTCTCCCTCTCTCCCGGTTCCAACTTCTCGGGCCAGGTCAATGGTACAGGGAATGCAGATTTATCGGGGTCATGCATGACTACCGGACGGCATTTCCCAGAGCGTTCATTTTGGAGGAGGACTTCCTGGCCTAGGAAGTCCTAATCCAATCCACGAGAGAGGGAGAGGAGAAGAACATATTAATTGAGGTAATAGCGTGTCCTGAGCGCGCGCGTGCGCGCATCGCGCCGCCGCCACAGGCTCATAGCCTATGCACGGCCATAGCCTATTCATGTTGGACCCTTCGTTTATTGGGGTCCATGCATTTTGGCCCCTTTGCATTATTCGCATTAAATGCATGGCGCAACCTTTGACCCCCTCAAGGGGGATACCTTTCGACTTCGCATGCTCCTTCGACGTCCAAGATCGTCCAAGTATCTCAGAGGACCAAGATCGACGACCTATAGGGTAGTTGCGCTCATTTCTAGCGTCACAGA